ACGTTGAATAATATTTTCTGAAAAATCGGCAAGGGCTCGTGTCGTTATCTTTACGTGCCTATATAAAGAGACATTTATGCTCCTTGCACTGTTACAAATAACTTGAATCTCAGATAATACCAACATAGGATAGGAATATGAATGTGCAAAAAATGCCTTACGTTGTCTAAGGACACGACAGTGCTTAGATTGTTCACTGAATCACACAAACATCGCAATATGTTACAAATCTTTGATATGTGCTTTTGATAGGTATCATCAGAGTGTTTTCCGTGCTTCTAACCACAAGTTTTCATAGCAAGTTGGTAATGCGTCCCTCTCATATGGTGAATATAAGGCTTTGAATTGTGGAAGTATTCCATGTAATGGAGTACGTTGAGTAAAGCGTATCCCACAGTAGTAGATATTAACTGTCTGTTAAGGAATCTTATTTTGGGTTGGTTTTCTTTACTTTGGAATTTGTCATAAATCTTAGCTTTCACCCTAACCTCAACTGTTTTCAGCCCACTCGTGCCTTTGCAGTTAGTAGTGCATGTCAGAAACTTTTCTAAATTTGTGTTGCTGCAGAAAAAGTTTTTATTGCAAACTCAAACTTATAAAAATGTAGATTATTGTGGTTCTTAACTCTGAAAACATAAACGTGACAATACCAAGGTACACGTTTACATTACAGTGGTCGTATATAATCACATTGAGCTCATATGTGCTCACATTAAAGGACACGTAATTTGCATGCTCTTGTTCCTCATCTGTTTACTCCCACTCCATACATAATAAGAACAGGTCCAACGCAACTGATTTAAATAAAACTAACGTAATCCAGCCAACATGAATTTTAATTTGATGGAAGAATAACTTTTTACTTCGTTACAAGTATCTGTTTAAGTATAACTGTAGGCGGTTGTGAAAACCCACAACCGTGTTGTAGAGCCAAGAAACAAGTACATCAAAACATATAAATAAAAGATGCATTCATAATTGTGTCACTACATTTTATAGATACAATAGTGTTACAAAAGAAATTCATACAGTGCAGTTTATTTGGTAACAAATATATACAAGGAGAAAGATGTTTGCATGGCACAGTATCTTTATAAGCAATATAACTTGCATGCGAAGAACTACAAAAATATTGGTCCTCAGTTAATTGATATTTTTCTGGGGTTTATCAGGAGTTTGATAATAGGTTGCTGTGGTGTCTATTGGATCTGATTGTGAGTCATTGTTATATAGTAATGTTATATTCATGTATGATCTACATACAGAAACTACAAATATTATTATTCATGTGGACTAAATTTTTAAAATTGTTTCTAGACTTGAACTAGATTTATGAATGTATGTAAGTAATGTAAGGTATGTATGGAGTCTGACCATTGTTTTGCATGTGTGGTTTGTAAAATTCTATACTGTTTCTTGTCACACATTTGCATCAGGGACAGAGTGTTCTTGTTAACTGTGAAAGCCATATTAGCCGAGGTAACCACAATTAACATGAGTGCTTTGACGTGATTTGCATTCACACGCACACACAAGCATATGTCACTACATTTAATATTACATAGTTTTTATAGGACTGATTCACTTATTCATTAAGTTAATAATTAATATTTCCAGGAAATGGTAAACCGGAAAATAACATTTCTTTATGGAAGTCAGACAGGAACTGCCCAGGATGTTGCAGAGAGAATTTGGAGGGAAGCCAGGATGTAAGTTACATTTATGTGGCAATTATTGCTTGTATGAGAGTGTAAAACTAACAAGTTTGTGGTGAAAAAATGAATGTCATTAACCTTGTGATTATGTAGATTCCATTTTCATGGTCCTGTTCGGACAATGGATGACTATCCTGTATCACAGCTCATATATGAAATGGTTGTCATATTCATTTGTTCAACGACTGGCCAAGGTGAAGAACCAGATAACATGAAACATTTCTGGAGATTCTTGCTGCGGAAAAATCTTCCTGCAGACTCACTGCAAGGACTAAGGTTAGTAATATCTTAAAGTTTGGCAGCAGTAATGGTATTTAACTGAAGATTTATTGTTCATTATGGATAGAGCATTTGGAAAAGAATACTTTGTAATGTTGATAGAACTGTTCAGCCAGATGTGCATTATTTTCCTTAAAAAGTTACCACAACTTTAGGAAAATATGAATATAAGAAATTGCCATTGGTTTAAATTGAGTTGTAAAGACAGTCAGTGAGGAGCTGTATTCTAATATTAATTTTTACATGTTTTTGATTACCATTGCAAGATTCTTATTTTGGATAGAGGTGGCAAAATCTCAGAAAACAGCCCTCAGTAAGGTGTGGAATTGATACCTTTGTGGAAAACAGTCAGTCTCATATTTATCTTCTCCTTTTGTAGATATGCTGTTCTTGGTTTAGGTGATTCTTCATATGCCAAATTTAATTATGTAGCAAAGAAGCTTCATCGTCGCCTTTTGCAGTTGGGAGGCCAGCCCCTTTTACACATTGGTCTTGCAGATGATCAGCATGATCTTGGTGCTAATGCAGTTATTGATCCTTGGATTAATGATTTATGGAGGAAGCTGTCTGATCTCTATCCACTGCCTGATGGTGTAGTACCATTAAATAAAGACATTCTTTGTCCACCAAGGTATGGCTTGTAGAAAGGGTGAAAAGTGTAGTTAGTTAACATTTTGCTATTTATAACAGAAGTTTTATAACAGAACTCTAAGAGAGAGAACTCTATAAAAGGTTTCACAGTCCAGGGCTTTTATACACCTATTTCTATTAATGCTACTCTCCAGCCTTCCACTTTTCGTTTCTGAACATATAATGTAAAGAAGTTTCTTTATTTTACATTTTCCTTGCCTGGGAACTAGTGATGAAAATTATGTGAGAATTTTCATTAACAGACTTGATTATTGGTAAGAGCAGAATTTTTTTTGTCTCTATGTCCAGATTAGCTGTGGGAATAACCCAGCTTCCTCTCTGTTGGGTACCAGAGGCTATTTCTTTCAGGGTAAATTGACCATAGCTTGGAGTGATCATTCACGTCTGTATTGTACAAGGTTATATGTAAAGCTTTATCACCACTCCTGTGTATGCTATCATAGTGTGGTGCTGAGGCAGTAAAGTTTTCCCTAAAATAACTTTTTTTAACTTGTTTTAGCTCTTTTCATGGCGCTGAATAGATGAAGCTAGTTCTGCAAGGCCTACCATGGCCAGATCCAGCTGGTGCCTAGAATCTGGTTTTCTATGCATGAAATTAACATGAATGTTAAGAGGTAGCAGTTACATGCAAAATATTGTATTGAACACTTTCTTCCTTTTTATGTTTGCCATATCTGTCTATTATAAATTTGAAATACCTTTGTTATTATCTTTAAAATACAGGAAATTTAATACATGCTCTGGCCTCAGAATCATCTTTTAAACATCTCCTAGGTATTCTCTTAACATTGCCCATTAGCTTTATAGTTTCTTTTTATCCTTTGTTACCAGTTGTGGCCCATTCTATGTTCATGGTCATTTTTTCTCTTTCTGTACGTAGAATTCTCTTAAATGGCATTATCAGTCTGAGGTTTCTCAAGTATTTGCATTTTGTTTCTTGTGCTGGTGAAATTGCTTTGTAATTCTTACATCTCTTTAACAGAAAGAAGCATAATGAAGTGCTTATTAACACTGTACCTATACTGTAAATGAAAACTTTTTCTTAGGTGGATTGTATCACTAAGTGAAACTGCTGAAACATACAGACAGTCATCTAGCAATATAGAATTAATGGAGGCAAAAGTGGGTAATAACAGGGAAGAAGAATTTTCACAAAACAATCCCTGTTATGTCAGCATTATTAAAAATACAAGAACTACAGCACCATTACATTTGCAGGTATGAATAATCAATAGACTCTGTGTCCAGTTGATTTTTATGTAGTGCATTGTCTAATTGTTGCTTTAATTATCTGTCAAGGTGATAGAAATTACTGTGTACTGTTCAGTGATGTTCGAGGCAGATATTGGCTCAGAACCTTGTTGAAATCCTGCAAATAATTGTGAGACATCACAGGCCTTCTTAATGTAGATTTGGTTAAAGCTACATAAAATACAAAAGCCTGTGAGGTCAATGTAATTGGTGATGGTATTAAAATGAATGACATTTTAGAAGTATTTGTCACAATAGTCTTAGCAACAAATGACTAGACAGTCTTGTGGTAGGGCACTGGACTTCTGTCCTAAAGGTCTTGTTTGAATTTAGCTTTATTCAGTTCAGACAGTCTTGTGGTAGGGCACTGAACTTCTGTCCTAAAGGTCTCTTGTTTGAATTTAGCTTTATTCAGTTTGGATACTTCTGCTGTATGGCTTTCTCTTTCCTCACCTTTGACAGAGCTAAAACTTTGTGCATTTGAGGCGTATTATACAATCATTGTGGTTTAGAATTAATTTTAAACTCTGTCCTCCAATTCCTCCTCCTCATCATCCTACTGTTATGGTTATTAGTATCTTCCACCTAAGTTCTTTCACCTCAAGAATGGACTAACCATTACTGAGGTGGATAGAAGCATGAAGGTTGAATAGACCATAGCTGGAGGCATGAGCAACATCATTGTCAAACATTTACTGACATAGTATTCACCTCTTAAGCAGTATAAGATATTTTGTGCCATCAATTGGGTACAACGTTTATTTATAAATTTTACATTGTGAAGGATATACCACTTAATTATATTAAATGAGAAAATCATGCGTCAAGAATGGCGAGGAAATCTGGTGTAGTTAAAAAAGATGTTTATTGAAAAGTCTAACAAAACATCATTTAAGAATTGAAATTAATACTTGTTTTTGCTTAATTAAAGAATGTAGTATGATTTAATGTAGTGCAAATTGTGATTTTAAAAATGTTCACTAACCAACCAATGAGCCAACACATATATTTCAACAAATATTGTGGGCTGTACATTGCATTATTTGATTAGTTTGTAATAAAAAGTCAAGGCCCTCTGTGAACAATCAGCTTCTGATAAATGGCTGAATCAGTAAGGAAGGAAGGAAACAGTATTTAAAATGTATTTTGTAGAAACTTTTGGAAAGTATGTGCATTAAATTGCAATTTGCTTGTGAAACTTTTGGAATGTATGTGCATTAAATTGCAATTTGCTTGTTTTTTTGATAATATTAATAAGAAGATAAATAGGTAAAAAGTAGATGGTATGAATAAATCTTATGTTTAAGAGGTGTGCTTATGTTTTTTTTGTTTTCATATTGCCTGTAGTGTAATAGTAATTTTAAAAAAGTGATCACCTACTATCCATCACTTGTCTGTTATAGAGATAGTGGTATATTTTGCTGCATGCTTTTTTCTAATGCTTCTGTCAAGGTGATATGGAAAACAAGTTTTAAAAGTATAACCATACTATCTGGTGTAAACAAAATGCCAGTAGTGTATTTTACATACTTATCATTGTTGCAGGATGTGAGACTTATTCACTTGTCAGCTCCAAAACTGCAGTATTCCCCAGGTGATGTTCTTATGGTATGCCCACACAATGCATCAGAGAAAGTTGACCAGTTTTTTAGTCTGTTGTCATGTGGTTCTGATGGAAGATTAGGTCCTGATACTGTGATTCATGTGAAAGAAAAGGACAGTGATGCACCTGTGCCACTAGCATTAAAACACCCTCTTACACTGAGAAGATGTGCTGAGCAATACTGGGACCTGAATGTGAGCATGAAAAATGATATCAATTTCTGTGATCTGCCACTGTGAGGGAAGCTCATAGATTGAGGGCAATGTATAACTTAAACTTTTGGGAATAAGCTGTATAGAATATTAATATGTTTTCCATAATCTTTTTTCCTAATCATGCGGTAAAACATTTTTCAGCACTTCTCATAACCGTGTGGTCACTAAAAGCCTAAAAGCTTTCTTCATATCTTTTCATCAACCATGATGTCACCACCTTTTTCATAGCACCCAACTCCTTTGTTTGTCCAATCCTTGATCTACATCCAACTCACTGCCCACTACCAGATCTATAGCCCATAGGGCTTCTCAACTGCCCCCTTGCAAATAAGCTGAAGATGGCATCTGTAGTGTTTGCTGAACACTGGACAATCTTCTTTATTCTGTGTGGCTTATTCCTGAAAGCTGAATTTAAACATTAAACTCCAACCTTGTAAACCTAAGGACATGAACATACCAAGGGTATTTGAGAATAAATTCAGAGGACAATATTTGGGTCTGAAAAAGAGTTGGTAACAAAGAAATTAAAACAATTATACAATTAAGATATTTACAATTTTTAATCATCACTTAATGTTCTTAGGATGTTTAAATCAAAAAGATTGAAATGACTGGAGCATATAGTATACAGGAGGAAAACAGAAATGAAATGCACATACATTTTTTTAAAGAACATTGTTTTTTGCTTCTGTAAAAAAATGTTTTGACTGTCTGTTTTTGAAAGAAGACATTTAATTAGGAAGAAGGTTAATTAGTAGTGAGTGAGAAAGATTTTACTTTCTATAAAATCCCTGCTGTAAGATGCTGCTTCTATCAAAATATTATACTGTTTCTAGCCGGGTCACCTTTAAAGTGAAACACATCTCTTTGTGTTACAGGCTGTCCCAAGACGTTATTTTTTCCACTTGCTCTCAAATTTTACCACCAGTGACCTTGAGAAAGAGAAATTGACTGAATTTTCTACACCAGAAGGACAAGAGGAGTTATATAATTACTCAAACCGCCCACGAAGAACAGTACTTGAAGTGTTGCAGGATTTTCCACAAGCAACAGCAAACATTCCTCTTGAATATATGTTTGAATTATTCCAGCCCATCAGACCAAGGGCATTCTCAGTTGCATCTTCACCAAAGGTGAATTGTTCAGTTGTATTTTAAAATTTGCTAGCATTGGTTTATCCCATTATATTTTGATTGATTGATTCAGTTAATATGACAGTCTTGTTTGCAAATAAACTCTTCTAGTTCTATCAGTGGTGTGTTACTCATTTGATATTTTGTTTATGTTTGTGGTATATATTATGCACTTTGTACACAAAATACATAAAATTATATCTGTCCAGCTGTCTGCATTCTTATCACCAAAACTACTCCACAAATTTTGATGATATTTGTTATTAAGGAGGGTGACGGTTACGCTGAAAGTTATTGGGCAAATTTCATTTTGTTAATGTTTGTCCAGCATAACTCAGATTTTCTCAAAAATGAATCCTTATACAATACATTGATGAGCTGGGTACCTCAATCAGTGTAGTGACTGACTATGGGCTGGACGATTGGGGTTAAATCCCTGACAGGGGCAGAAGATTTTCTTCTAGCCTCTGCATCCAGCCTGGCTCTGGGGGCTCACCCAGCCTCCTGTCCCCAGGGGTGACATGAGGCTGGGGCACGATGCTGACCACTCTACCCCATCTAGTGCTGAGGTTGAGAAAGAGTAGGAACTATACCTCCTCTCCCATGTACATCTGCATGGTATGTAATCAGATGGCTTTCTATACAAGAAATTGTTAGGACATACAGTGTGGATCTTATTAAGATCTGCACTTTGAATTGTAAATATTTTTGATTCATTACATATTTAATGTAGTACAAGAAAAAATATTATCTGACTGTGAAGTGTGATATCTAGAATGTGATTAGCTTTGTAACAGTGGCTTTTTATCTGCAATAAATGAATGTCAAGAAGATTGAGATATGCAAAATTATAGTGTATTTGAAAAATGTGTACTCCAATAGAATGTATCCTTTCAATGTTGCTTTTCTCAAAGCACTAATAACCCTTTAAATATGAGTGGTAACTTATGTGCCATCTACCTAAACAGTCTCTATTATATTCCATGGATCCTTAAGTTAGCCAGATGACAGTAGGATGTGGAATAAGTCATAATAATACAATACATATTTTTAAGTATGGTTCATACTGTTATAAAGATTTCAGGTTCACATATAGTATTGTTATGTTACAAATTAAACCACCCACTAAAAATATTAAATTATACAACCAATTTACATTATATAAAAACAAGAAAATCTTAATGAATATTACGACTTATTTATAAACATAAATTTATCACAAGTTAAAGGAGTACATAATTAAATGTCTTTTTAAAGCTAACACAGTTTGGTAATACTTTGACATTCACTTTATATGGTTTTGAATTGTGCTTTAAACTGTGATTTAAAGGAAGTTCTTTAAAGACTTGTTTGATGTAGGAAAAAAAAGTATAAATTATTTTACTTATGTAAAATTTCACTTCAGTACTATCTCTTCTAGGCTCACAATGAAGAAATTCACATTTTAGTAGCTGTTGTGAAGTACCGTACTAAGTTGATAGCTCCACGTCTTGGCCTTTGTTCCAACTGGTTGGCAGGCTTGACTCCAGGAACGAATATACCAGTCTGGATACGAAGAGGATCTTTTCATTTTCCACTATCAGAAGTTAGTAATTGAAGATGGATAACTTGCAGGATGCTTATACACTAATCCATTTCTGAATACTGATATGTTTCCTGAAAGTTGTTTGTCGAGCAAAACTTTGATCAAATAAAAATGAGTGTCTGATGAATTTATGGGTAATAACTACCTTTGACAAATATTGAAGAAAAAATGGAAGTACTGTGGTTCAAAACATTAGTTGTGTATAAATAAGGATGTCTTGGATCGTTATAAAGAACAGGAATTGATTTGAAGTGAATAAACTAATTGAGATATGTGCAGTATAAAGGAAAAAAGAACAAAAAAGTGAAGAAAATGAAATGGTGGCCTTATATTTTGAGATAAACTTTACAGAAATATTTTAGATACAGTGAAAAGACTTACTGTCAATATGATGGAGGGTGGGTAAAGTTGGAAACAAAGAATGATAATATTCCAAATATGCTGTGTTGATAATGTAGACCGAGTTGTCAGTTCCTCTTTTGTGATACTCAGCCATTTATTGTTATACTGCATTCACTTTCTCCCGATGTTTGTAGTAAGAGTAAGAAACTACACAAGTGTCTGTGTGAAAGATGTCATGTAAATGCAGGTGAAGCTGTAGTTTGTTCCACTTCAATTATTTTTTCCATGCTATGAGAGAAATAGCCTATTCTGATCAGAATATGTTGGTATGTGACAGGATCACTGACACTGCTATTCTGCTAAATAGGGAAAACTAAAAACATTTTAGTGGAATTGTTTGGTTACTACAAGAATGTGCAAAAAAGATTTAAATTTATTATTTTTGGTTATTTTCCTTGAAGAACTATCACCTTTGTTTCCTTATTTATTTATTGTTTCCTCATGATACTCTTCACATGGATACTGTAGACCAGTGCTTCCCAAACCTGGGTAAATTACCCAAAAATGGGTAAAAGTGGTTTTCTTTGGGTAACGACACCCATTTCTGTGTGGCTTGACTGAAATCCCTGATGGTGTTAATGGTTTTGCAGAGCAAATGATGGAGCTTAGGTCAAGCAGTCAGTGCAAAATGTTATTTGAAGGCTGCGATGCAATTATTGCGGTTTCCGAGCACCTACATGTGTGAAGTAGGATTTTCCACTCTTGCCTTCATAAAGAGCACAAAACGAAACTGTTTGCTGAACCCTGAATAGGATGTGAGGTGTGCTCTGTCTCAAATTGCTCCCAATTTTGCGCAACTAGTAAATAAGATGGAGCAGTGGCATTATACTCATTAGCTGGGACCTGGGTGATGAAATATTCAT